CCCAGCCCCCTGGGCCCCCCCCCAGCCGGCCAGGCAGACTCACTCGAGGCTGGTCAGGCTGGTGTTGGAGTGTAGTGCTTGGGCCAGCGCCTGGGCCGCCTTCGCCTGGATGAAGTTCCACTGCAGGCTGTGCCAAGAGAAGCGGGCGCAGAGGGTTAAACCCTGGGGGCTCCGCGAACAGGGGAAGCCCAGCCCAGGGAGGGGCCCTTGCCATGGGGGGACCCGCTGGAAGAGGGGATGTTGCAAGGGGAGGCCAGCGAGGTTTAGCTGCATCCCACCCAATGGAATCCCCCGTCCCGTTGGTACCAGACACGTGACAGGGATATGTCGGGGGGGGTACCGACCATGGCAGCAGCAGGGATATGTCGGGGGGGGTACCGACCATGGCAGCAGCAGGGATCTGTTTGGGGGGGGTACCGACCAGGGCAGCAGCAGGGATCTGTCTGGGGGGGGGCCCGACCAGTGCAGCAGCAGGGATCTGTCGGGGGGGGTCCCGACCATGGCAGCAGCAGGGATCTGTTTGGGGGGGGTACCGACCAGGGCAGCAGCAGGGATCTGTCTGGGGGGGGGCCCGACCAGTGCAGCAGCAGGGATCTGTCGGGGGGGGTCCCGACCATGGCAGCAGCAGGGATCTGTTTGGGGGGGGTACCGACCAGGGCAGCAGCAGGGATCTGTCTGGGGGGGGGCCCGACCAGTGCAGCAGCAGGGATCTGTCGGGGGGGGTCCCGACCATGGCAGCAGCAGGGATCTGTTTGGGGGGGGTACCGACCAGGGCAGCAGCAGGGATCTGTCTGGGGGGGGGCCCGACCAGTGCAGCAGCAGGGATCTGTCGGGGGGGGTCCCGACCATGGCAGCAGCAGGGATCTGTTTGGGGGGGGTACCGACCAGGGCAGCAGCAGGGATCTGTCTGGGGGGGGGCCCGACCAGTGCAGCAGCAGGGATCTGTCGGGGGGGGTCCCGACCATGGCAGCAGCAGGGATCTGTTTGGGGGGGGTACCGACCAGGGCAGCAGCAGGGATCTGTCTGGGGGGGGGCCCGACCAGTGCAGCAGCAGGGATCTGTCGGGGGGGGTCCCGACCATGGCAGCAGCAGGGATCTGTTTGGGGGGGGTACCGACCAGGGCAGCAGCAGGGATCTGTCTGGGGGGGGGCCCGACCAGTGCAGCAGCAGGGATCTGTCGGGGGGGGTCCCGACCATGGCAGCAGCAGGGATCTGTTTGGGGGGGGTACCGACCAGGGCAGCAGCAGGGATCTGTCTGGGGGGGGGCCCGACCAGTGCAGCAGCAGGGATCTGTCGGGGGGGGTCCCGACCATGGCAGCAGCAGGGATCTGTTTGGGGGGGGTACCGACCAGGGCAGCAGCAGGGATCTGTCTGGGGGGGGGCCCGACCAGTGCAGCAGCAGGGATCTGTCGGGGGGGGTCCCGACCATGGCAGCAGCAGGGATCTGTTTGGGGGGGGTACCGACCAGGGCAGCAGCAGGGATCTGTCTGGGGGGGGGCCCGACCAGTGCAGCAGCAGGGATCTGTCGGGGGGGGTCCCGACCATGGCAGCAGCAGGGATCTGTTTGGGGGGGGTACCGACCAGGGCAGCAGCAGGGATCTGTCTGGGGGGGGGCCCGACCAGTGCAGCAGCAGGGATCTGTCGGGGGGGGTCCCGACCATGGCAGCAGCAGGGATCTGTTTGGGGGGGGTACCGACCAGGGCAGCAGCAGGGATATGTCGGAGGGGGGGGTTCATAGGAACAGCAGAGCGGCCAGCGTGGGTCAGACCAATGGTCCATGTGGCCCAGTGTCCTGTCTGCCGACAGTGGCCCAGGCCAGATGCTGCGACGGGAATGAAGGGAACAGGCAATAATCGTGATCTGTCCCCTCTGTCCAGCCCCAGCATCTGGCAATTGCAGGTTAAGAAACACCCAGGGCATGGGGCTGCATCCCTGCCCACTTCGGCTCCCAGCCGTTGCTGGGCCTGTCCTCTGGGAGCGTTCCTAGCTCCATCCTGAGCCCGGTCAGCCTGCGTGTGGCCATCCCAGCCCCCTGGCGAGGCGTTCCCCAGGCTGACTGGGGGTTGCCTCGAGGTGCTTCCTGTTGCGTCAGACCCGCCGCCTGTTCCTTTCACGTGTGGTGAGTCCCTGGTTCAGGCTGGTGTCCTGACAGGTTAACTGGTACCACAGCTAGCAGTTTCGCAGGGTTGCATTTGAGTTCCGTCAGAACTCCTCCGCCTACCAGCTGGCCCTGGCGACTTTACTCTTCAGTTACAGGTTTGTTCCGAAGTGTCCTCAGTGGCACCTCCCTTGGGGCCACTCCTCAGACGTGTCACCCACCAGGAACGGCTCAGGCGCGGGGCGCTCCCTCACGCCCTGTGCGGCGAAGGCGAGGCAACGAAGTCATGTAGCTTCTCCACAACAGTCTCCTTTTCCTTCACTGCTCCTGTAGGGCCTAGATGGTCCGGCGGCCTCGTGGACTGTTCAGCTCCCTACTTCTGATGCACACAGGTTTTGTGCTGTTAGCATTTCTGCCTTTTGCCTGTTGCTCCTCAAACTGGTTTTTGGGCTGCCTGATTAAACTCGGGCAAGTCAAATTTGAGTCTCTATTTTCCTCAGTAGAATTTGACTTCCCATTTATAAAGGATATCACCTCTGATCACCCCTCTTGCTCTGTTTGGTCACAGTGGCAACATTTTGTTCCTTTTGCCGTTTTGTTGGTTTTAAGTTTGGGACAGACATTTGGTTTGCACCTCTATTATGATGGCTTTTTAAAAGTTTTCATGCAGTTTGCAGGCATTTCACTCTTGTGACTGTTCCTTTAACTTCCATTTCATTAGCTTCCTCACTTCCGTACAGCTCACCTTTTTGAAGTTCAGAACTACTGTGGAGGGTTTCTTTGGTATTCCCCCCACCACAAGAATGCTAAATACAATCACATTATGGCCCCTACCACCAAGCAGTCCAGCTATATTCCCCCCTTGGACCAGATTTTGTGCTCCACTTAGGAGTAAATCAAGAATTGCCTCTCCCCTTGTAGGTTCCAGGATTAGCTGTTCCAAGAAGAGTCGTTAATGGATTTATAGCTCATTACAAAAATCTGTAACCCAGTAATTCCCCCATTTTTGTCCTTTGATTGCAACAGTGATAACAGGCCACTTTTCCTTTCATGGTCTCGGAATACAAATGGTAACTACTATGCTAAACCATCTGTCCCACCTCATTAGCGGTGACACTGTGCAGCTCTCCCAGCCCTGTAGACCAGCTCTGGGTGGCTTCAAGGCTTGTCGCTCTCACTACCAGAAGTTGGACCCATTAAAGCGACCACCTCCCCCACCCTGTCTCTCTAATCTTCTGGGACTGATGCTGCAAAATCAGAAAAGAACAGCCCGGAGAAGGCAGCTAAAGAGAAGGAACCACAAATCAAGGCCAAGGTGAAACTCACTGCAGGGACATGAGCGCCTGATTCTCCTTCATTGCCAGCGCAATGGCCATGACTCCTTCATCATGCAGCAGATTCGCAGCGAGGCTGGAGACAGAGTGTAGAGAAAAGAGTTAATCACAGTGGGATGTCTCACACCTGCCTCTGGCAGTGAGACAAGAGCAAAGGGAGGGAGGGAGTTAAAAGGCAATTAACAGGAAACATTGGTTTTTACAGTGTAATGGGTGGTTAATCAATGGAACTCACTGCTGCAGGATATGGAAGCAAACAGCTTCAAAAATTTTAAAATGGAATGAACAATTCTAGGAACAAGACGAGTGCCTGCACTGACACCAGCCCCTGCCTGAGGGCTGTGCTAGTGCTGAACGGACGGCATAAGCTGGGGCAGAGGAAAGCCAGCTGACTTACTCTAGGTTCCTCAGTGTGCGGTTAGTGCACAGAGCATTGGCGATCTCTGGTGCCCCCTCCTGGCCAATGGAATTTTAAAATGGAATGAACAATTCTAGGAACAAGACGAGTGCCTGCACTGACACCAGCCCCTGCCTGAGGGCTGTGCTAGTGCTGAACGGACGGCATAAGCTGGGGCAGAGGAAAGCCAGCTGACTTACTCTAGGTTCCTCAGTGTGCGGTTAGTGCACAGAGCATTGGCGATCTCTGGTGCCCCCTCCTGGCCAATGGAACAAGAGCCAGGACTGGTCGCTGGGTATGGAGTCCCTCCTCTTAGTTGAGGAGTGGGAACAGCACACCCCTCCAGCACCCCCAAATGCCCCTCCCAGTTCACACACACCCTTCCAGCACCCCCAAATTCTCCCAGTTCTCACACACACCTCCAGCACCCCCAAATACCTCTTCTCAGTACACACACCCCTCCAGGACCCCAAACACACCTTCCAGCACCCTCAATGTACACTCTCCTGTCCCAGTTCATACACAACCCCCCAGCACCTCCAAATACCCTCTCCCAGTTCACACACAAAGTGCACTCTCCTGTCCCAGTACACACACACACATCCCTCCTGCATCTCCATATACCTCCTCCCAGTACACACCAACCCCATATACTCCCTTCAAAAAACCCCAATACCTTCCCTCATCCCAGTGCACATACATACCCCATCACACCCCTCAATACCCCCTCCAGCACACCCCCAAATAACCCCTCCCCAGCAGTGTCTGCTTTTGGGGAACCTGCCCATGACCAGCCTCAGCCAAGGAGACATTCCCCCCTGTGGCTGGCAGGGGCCGCTGCTGCGGCAGGGCTAGGACAGGCCCAGCTGAGCTGGTACATTCCACAGGGAAATCTGACCCGAGTTAGATGGACTCTGAAGTGGCGACACCCACCAAGCTGGGACCCAGACCAGCCAGTGGGGGCAGATGCCTTCCCCGGGGCCTGCCCCCACCGGTTGAGTCTCCGAGGAGCTGCCGGGCGGGGGCCGTATCAGCAGCAAGGCCCTCACGCCGAAGCTGGTGCAAAGCCACAACCTCCCGGCCCAGACGGCGCGGCACCGAATGGCGCCGTTCTGTGGCCGCAGCACTGGCCAGAGGCCCAGCCCTCGGGGCCCGGCGGGACGGGGGCAGGACTTACTTGAGGCTGACGAGGCCCCGGTTGGCGCGCAGGGCTCCGATCAGCGCCGTGACCCCCGCGTTGCTGATGGAATTGCTCTGGAGGCTACGACACAAACAGACACCGTGGGGTCACAATGGGAAGGATGGGGGGGGGGGGGGCGCTCGGACCAGCCCAGCCGGGGGGGGTCACCGTGACTGCCTGGCATGTGTAAGAGCTGAATGCACCACGGCAAAATGGGCCAGCCTACAGGACCGCCTGGCTGGGTGGGCGGAGCCCGCGGAGACAGAAAGCCCCGCCCTCCATGGGGGCGGGGCCACAAAGCAGGAATCAGCTGCCAGTAACGATGGAGCAGGAGGGAAGGTCACAGGTTCGGAAGGCAGCAGCTGGGGACACCAAGCAGAGAGCCCCGGAGGGCGCCCAAGGGCCAGCGGACGCCTCTCAGAGGAGCCGTGCTGAGATGGGAGGCAGGAAGAGGCTAAAATCCAAGCACCAGAAATGCAGGGCACACCACTGTCCAGCTTCCTCTTCTGGGGCTGGTGGGTACCGCCAAGGCCGCGCCAGGAGGCAGCTGGGAAGGGGGCGGGGCCATGTGTGTGGGGTGCACAAAGGAAAAGCTCAGGAAATCCAGCCAGAGCCCCAACAGGCAGACGGGGGCAGGGGGAGGGGTTCTCCCTGGGCACTGGCGGGAGGGGGGTGAGGGCCTGAGCTCTCAGTGAAAGGTGCCAGACCAAGAAGGTGGAAGACCCCTGTTTGCCCTGGGACAGGCGAGAGCAGCTTGCGCCCTGCCCCCCCTCCCAGGTTACCCTGCCCCCGGCCTGCACTGGAAGGGAGGCGTCTGTGGGGCTGGAGGGCTGGTCAGTCTGCAGCCCCTCTGCTGAGCCCCACGAGGGAGCGGACGGCGACTCACAGGCCGCCAAGCCTCAAGCAGGGTAATAACTTTGGGCACTGTGGGCGCGGGTGGCTTGCAAGTGGGGAAACAGCCCTTCTCCCCCCTATGCCCTTCTCCCCACTATGCCCTTCTCTCCCCCTCCCCCGTGTCTTGTTTGATTAATCTTCCTGCTTGACCCTCCTCTGAAGCTACCAAGATACCTTGAAGGAGATTCCCAGGGAGGCCTCCCAGAATGGACTCCCTGCTGGAAATGCTGCTGTGCAGTAGCAGAGCCTCACGTCCCCCTGCACATCATCAAGGGGAACTTTCCCTCCCAGCCCCTCCTGCTTTCCATGGACATGAGTTGGAGGGACAGACAAGGATGGGGCAGGAGGATCCCCCTGGATCACATCACGCTGCTTTTGTGTATTCTGCACACACGCCCCTGGGAGCGAAGGACAATGCTCGGGACTTACTCCAGGGTGGTGAGGCTGTGGTTCACTTGCAGCGCTTCGGCCAAGGCTACGGAGCCGGTGTCCCCCACACAGTTACTGGAGAGTCTGCGGCCAAGGAAAGGAAGATCAGCCGCCGGCAGGTGCGAAATCGCAGCCAGCATCCTAGCAGCAGCAGATCCCGATCGCCCCCCGTACGCCCGCCGTGCGGTGTCCTCCCAGTGGGCAAAGCGAGTGTCCGACGGCGCCGTCCCACGGCTGAGCGGTATGTCTGGGGGCACGGCTGCGGTGCGGTGACGTCCAGCCCACGGTATTAACATCACAGTGAACGTGGCCGGACTGTGCCCGTCCAATGGGCATTCGGAGGGTCCCCTTCACACAGATCTCCCCCTCTCCCCCGCAGACCTGGCTCCCACAGGCCCACTGAGGCACGCGGGAGGATGGGGCAGGCCCTGGGTTCTCTGGAGTAGGGTGGCTACTCACCTGACCCTGGAATACCAGAAATCCTGGTCCTTCCAGGAGCTGTGACCCCGCCCCGCCCCTGCTGACAAGATGGGGCGTGTGATGTCACACTGCCCGGGCGGGGCCATTTTTAAATGCCGGGGGTGCTGAGCAGCATCTCCCATCCAGTACTGGAGCAAACCACGCCTGGTTTAGGCCCAGTTCCAGACAGGCACCTCTGCGGGGGGGCAGATCTTCCCCACCATGGGCCCCATAGAGATCCCCCCGGAGCTGCAATGCAGGCAGCTGCCCCCTCTGCAGTGGGAGCCCCCCGACACGCAGGAAGCCAGGCTCAGGCCGCAGAGCCACAGCCAGATGCCCTGCGCCCGCGCCCGTGTCCAGCCCAGACACGCAGCCTCAGGGAAGCCAGGGCGGTCGGCCGCGAGCGGGGCTCAGCCCCTGGCCTCCCGATGGACAATGCCCAGGGCGCCCCGTAGGGTTTCCCGTCCCGACTGGCTGTTCCCAGGACCCCAGCCGCACGCGAAGCACAGGCCTTGCCCCCCCCACAGGGAGTGAGGTCGGCATGACTCCAACGTCCCTGCGGATCCGCCAGAGGGCACGTCGCACGGAGACGCTGCCGAGGACAAAGCGCTCCCCCCGCTCACGGAAGGATCCCTGCCCCCCAGCACATACAGCAGCCTCCGAGCCCGGGCATGTGGGGCAGCTTCTGCCCTGCTGAGCCACCAGCCTGTTCCTCCAGGAGAAACCCCGCTGGTGTCAACGGGACGGGCCCGGGCGAGGTCTGCCCTTGTGCGTGTCAGTCCCCAGGGGGCTCGGGAGGGACCCCCTGGCCTCCTACCCGCCGAGCATGTGACCACCCCTCAGCCCTTACATCAGCTCCCGGAGACTCCTGTTCTGCTTCAGCGCCTCTGCGATGTGCCGCGCACCGGGGGGCCCAATGGCGTTCTTCTGCAGGCTGTGCGGAGACACAACCACCCCTGAGCTGAGACAGGGTCAGCCGGCACCCATAACGCGCTCCCTGGCTTCCCCCGAGCATCCCTGCCTCTGCTGGCGGGCACCGCGGCCCGGCCCCCTTCACGCGGCCAGCTCCGGGCACCCCTCCGCCCCGTCTCCTGTCATGCTCTAGCCCCGGTGCTCCACGTCTCAGCGGCTGGCTGACGTTAGGAGCCGTTACCATGTCGACAGCTCAGGCCTCGCCCGACATCACTCTCTGGGACGCGCCTCTTGGGCCTGGCCCGAACCCCAGGCCTGCTGTGTAGGCAGCACCCAGAGTCCTGCTGTGTAGGCAGCACCCAAAGGCGAGCGAAGCTACTTCTACTTCAGCCACGTGACTGACGCTGCCGAAGTTGCGAACACCATTCGACTTCAGCCCTGCGTGTCGACCTGCCCTCAGCGTCCGAGCAGACGCGGAAAAGGGTCGGACGGGGCCGAGGACAACGGCTCCTTCGGCCTGCGCTCTCAGCTGAAGGGGCGAGCAGCAGACTGCCCCTTGGCGGGCGGCTGTGCACAGGAGCAGCCAGGACACCACCAGGGTGCAGAATCACTCACTGCAGAGTCGCCAGCTTGTGGTTGGTCAACAGGGCCTCTGCCAGGAATTTAACCCCTTCTTCCTTGATCGCGTTGTTCTGGAGGCTGCAGAGATAAACACCGCAATTACTGGGAGCGAGCAGGAGGCGGGCACAGGCCGGACCAGTGTCTCGCATTAGACGAGCCGGCTCCTGGAAGGCAGAGGCAACGGTGTAAAACAACCCCCCTGCACCTGAGCTTCCTGGCTGGATCTTGTCTCCCCTCTGGCTCTGCCTTTTGGGGCTGTCTCCTGCCCCCATGAGCAGCCTGCCTCTTTCCGGAGCCTCTTGCCCTTTCCCCGTGTAAAGGGCCGGGTTGTGTACACCCCCCAGTCTCCTCCACACGCCTACCAGCCCCTGCAGGGCTCAGCCTGCCCCAGATCCAGCAGTGCCCCCATAGAAACGCCAACATCCTCCGCCCGTCACCGATCTGACCCTTCCCGGGGCCGATTCACAGAGAAGAGAGGTAGTGGAGAAAACCCGAGAGACAATGCAGACGCTGCCGTGCCCCTCCCCGCGGGAGAGCCTCCAAGTAGCACTCAGCAAAGGCCGCCAGCGATCTCTGCCCTTCCAGCCCAGTGCGGGACGGGTGTTTCTAACGGCGGGAGAGGCCTTTGGACAGGACGCCATGAACCACGGCATCGCTGCAAAGGGCGAGCCGCCTCGGCTGGGCACCGGGAGAGAACTGACCCCGGCCCTGTCTCGGGTCCCCAGTCAAATGAAGATGGAGTGTCGGGTGTTGTCTGACTGCCTGACCTGGGATACAGGCAGCGGGTTACTGCCCACGATCCTTCTGCTCGAGTCGTTTTAGCATCGGCTGCCCAGGGAGAAGAAGCCGGGTCAGCCCCCCTCGGCCGTCTCTCCCACCTGGAATTGGGCCCGTAAGCAATCTGCTGTCAGGAGCAGGGAAACCCACAGCACTTACGTGAGAGACAGCAGGACTTGGTTGATTTTCAGCGCGTCGGCCAGGGCCTTGGCCCCCTTGGGCCCGATGGCGTTACTGCGAAGGCTGGGGGAGGGCCGGCGGGGACAGGGAGAGATAGAAACGCGAACGTTAGAAAATCGAGACAAGAACAACACTGGTCTGACGAGAGCGTTACGGGCGAACGTTCATTGTGAACCTTGATCCTCCCCACCGGGGGGGCGCAGCCTCTGGAACCGGAAGGCAGGTGCCTTTCGAGAGGCTTGCTAGATCCTCCTGGGAGGACAAAGCCACCTGCCCCCGGGCCACAGACAGATAGCGAAGGGCAGAGGGGCCCCACCCCTGTGATCGTGTAGCGACCTCCTGCAGAGCACAGGCCAGAGTCCCTCGCTGACCAGAGCTCAGCTTGTGGAAACCAGCCTGCCTTGGCTGGAAACTTGCCCGTGAGGGAGAATCCACCCACCGCGTGGCAGGTCGTGCCAATGGTTAATTACCCCGTCGTTACAGTTTGTACCGCAGTTCCCCTCCGATCCTGGTGGGGGACCTTGCTCCGCTCGGGAGCCGACTGTCAGCTCAGTTTCCCAGGTCGGTATTACTGCCTGACCAGGTCACCCCTTTGCCTTCTCCTCGTTAAGCTAATCAGAGCCAGGAGCTTCGTCTGTCCCAGGGAGGCAGTTTTGCCAGGCCTACAATCCTCTCTGTGGCTCGTCTCGGAGCCCTCTCCAACTTATCCCCTCCCTTCTTGGGCTGGGGAGCCCAGAGCTGGGCTCTCTTCCAGCACTGGGAGCACCCGTGGCCTGTCTGTGTCTACAGAGCAGTTATTAGCCCTTCCGGCCACGGCAGCTGACCACCCACCACGCGGCCCAGGCTGGGTCAGGTCACTGCTCCCAGGCTGGATCCCCCGCTGGTAGGGCACCCTGCGCCCCGTGTGCCTCGGCGTGGAGCTTTGCAGGGAACAGCTGAGGCCACGTCACCCACGTTTGGGATCCCCCGGCTATTCTGGAAAATCGGGTGCATCCCAGCAGCCCTTCCGGCCACGGCAGCTGACCACCCACCACGCGGCCCAGGCTGGGTCAGGTCACTGCTCCCAGGCTGGATCCCCCGCTGGTAGGGCACCCTGCGCCCCGTGTGCCTCGGCGTGGAGCTTTGCAGGGAACAGCTGAGGCCACGTCACCCACGTTTGGGATCCCCCGGCTATTCTGGAAAATCGGGTGCATCCCAGCGGCTCTGGAGCCGGGGTTGGAGCAGCGAGGGTTCTTCATGCCAAGGAAGGAACCAGCCAGCCCCTGACATTGGCTCCATAAGTAACTTGTTGGGGTCCCTCATTTGGACTCTGTCACGGGTCGTTCTCCACGCCGGGGCCAGGGCAGGTGACAAGGCGTCCCCGGCACATGTAATACACTAGCCGATTGCTAGACACTCCAGGCTGCCACATGCATTCCCACGTCACCAGGGCCTGCTCGCGGGGCCACTGAAGGCAACTGCAAGATGCGCATTGCCTTCCCCAGACAGCGGGTCAGGCCACCAGCAAACCAGGAACCAGTTTTGCCTACGTACACCCAGGCGTTTTTGGGGTGGACTCTGCTCTGCCTGTCACACTCACTATGGGATGCTTTGGGGGGCCGCAGAGCGGCTCTGATGGGAACGTGCAGAGGCCACGCTACGAAGACTCTTGAAATCTGGTCTGCTCGCTCATTCGGACACGAGGGAAGCAGGGAAGGGATTTCACCTGGGGGTTTTCCCACCAGCAGCCATGGCATGAGCCTCACTCACTGCACGTCAGCCACTCAGGCGCTTTGGGGTTGGAATCGTTGAAATCTGGTGACAGCAGATCTGAGAAAGCGGAAAGGGGCCTGCGGATGGACATTTCCATCTGGAACCCTACAACGGGGACATTCCTCCCCTTTGGAAGTGACCACGCACGGTAGCAGCCATCTTCCAGTGCGGAGAAATTCGGGTCAGTGGGCGTCACCCGTTTGGTTTCAGCCATTTTCGGGACGGAAACCGCGGCCGGCGCGCGAGTGCTCTACAGGCGCCCACGGGTGCCCACAGGCCACACGGCGTCAGACGAGAAACACCCGGAACTTACTCGAGTACCATCAGGCTCCTGTTGACCATCAGGGATCGGGCGAGGGCTTTGGCCCCTTTGTTACCGATCTGGTTCTCAGCCAGGCTGCCCAGGAAGAGAAACCGGAGTTAGCCGTGAGCCAAAGAGCAAACCCAGCCCCTGGCCTGCTGCCTCCCTCCAAGCCCCTGCTCAAGTACAACTCCACTCAATCCTTGAGTCCTTTGCAGCCTGAGGGCTTAGCCAGGCAGAGTGCTCACTGCTCGGAGACCTGCCTGGACGGGGATCCCACGGCCCAGCCTGTCCACAGCTGCTCTGCTGGACCCGAGGAGGGCAGCGGGAAGGTGCCGCACCGCGCCGGGACCG